TGTACTGGGATCAGTGGTGTTCAACATATTCATAAATGATCTGGAAAAAGGGATAAGGAGTGAGATGGCAAAGGTTGCAGATGATACTAAATTGCTTAAGACAGTTGAGTCCAAAGCCGACTGCAAAGAGTTATGAAGGGATCTCACAAAACTAGGTGACTGGACAACAAAATGGCAGATGAAATTCAATGTTGAGAAATGCAAGGTAATGCACATTGGAAAACATAAACCCTACTATACATACAGAACATGGGGTCTAAATTAGCTGTTACCACTCAAGAAAGAGATCTTGGAATCATTGTGGATAATTCTCTGAAAACATCTGCTCAATGTGCAGCAGCAGTCAAAAAAGCGGCCAGAATGTTAGAAGACATGAGGAAAGAGATTGATAATAAGACAGTAAATATCATAATGGCACTATATAAATCCACAGTACGCCCACACCTTGAATACTGCATGCAGTTCTGGTCACCCAAATCTCAAAAAAGATATTAGAATTGGAAAAGGTACAGAGCAGGACAACAAAAATGATTAGGGGTATGGAATAGCTTCTGTATAAGGAGATATTAAAAAGACTGGGACTGTTCAGCTTGGAAAAGAGACAACGGAGGCTGGGGATATCATAGAGGTCTATAAAATCATGAATGGTGTGGAGAAACTAAATAAGGAAGTGTTATTTACTCATTCACAGAACACAAGAACCAGGAGTTACCCAATGAAATTAATAGGCAACAGGTTTAAAACAAACATAAGGAAGTACTTCATAGAATGCACAATCAACCTGTGGAACTCATTGCCAGGGGACATTGTGACAACCAAATATAATTGGGTTCAAAATAGAATTAGAGAAGTTTATGGAGGATAGGTCAATCAATGGCTATTAGCCAAGATGGTCAGGGATGCAACCTGATGCTCCCAGTGTCCCTAAGCCTCTGACAGAAGCTAGGACTGAACAATGGGGGATGGATCACTTGCTAATTGCCCTGTTCTGTTCAGGCCCTCTGAAGCATCTGGCATTGGCTGCTGTCAGAGACAGAATACTGGGCCAGATGGACAATTAGTCTGACCTAGTCTGGTCATTCTTATGTTCAGACTGAGCAGACACCAGAAGGCTAGTTATTTTAGGTGCAGGTGGAGCAGGGGCATAAAGGGTGGGGTGGAGCCTCTATTTTATTTGTATCAGGATCACATCTCAGTCCACGATGTAGATATTCCTTTAAAGCTTCCCCGCCCATCCCCCTCCTCCTCCATGTTGAGCTGCAGGGGAAGGTAATTAAGTGTACTGGAAGGCACAGCTTCTAAATGGAGAGATGGCTTATGGAAAGCCAGTAAGATGCACAATACCATTACTACTGTCCTCCCTCAAGCTTTGAGAAAAAAACCCTGAGCAAACTGTTGCCAGGCAGCAGCTATCGACAGTCCTGAGAGCATTCTCTGGCCTACAGTGTTCCCAGTGACAGAGAGAAATGGTGGCTGCAGGGAAGGGTGCGTGTGTGGGGGGGCAACCACAGCATCTTTACACCACTGAATAGCAAGAGGGATGGATGGTGCTGCTGCTAACCTGCTGTAACCTGATGCAGCAGAATTTAAACAGCATATCAAAGTACAATAACCACGAGCATGCAGCGACTTCAGGGAACCATTAGCCGCGTGTCACTGGAGAGAGGGCATGTGCCACAGAAAGAAATAGTTTCTCATTCCAGAGCTCTTGGCCCAATAATGTTTCTGCAGCATATGAGGGAAGTGCATATTTCTGGCAGAAGGCTGTGCATTGAAGTTATATAGGATGCGGATTTGCGATGGATATTACATTTGCACTATAGGCTGTCTGCCCCCTTGTGCTAGACACTGTACAAACATAACATTGGCCCTGACCCAGACAGCTGGGGGGGGGGGGGGAGGGTGAAGAGCAATGAAGTCTCTTTCAAGCAGCTTAGGAAGTTGCTTTGTACAGCCTTTGTAGGGAGACATATGTGGACATTTTGAAGAATTCATTGCAGCGGTATTTGTATTAGGGTAGCTTAGGAGCTCCAAATCAATCATCGTGCTAGGCACCGGGCACACACATCTGAAAAGAGAATCCCTGCTCGGAATCTGAAATGCTTACAACACCTATTGTTAATTTAACCATGGCAAGGTCCTCGTTACATCCTCATGTGGGCAACTGGCCAATACCTTTGGCCAAATGTGACAGTCCCTGTCTCACATAATAGTAACAAGCCTTTGCTGCTTGTCAGGCCAAGCTGGTGCGGTCCTGCTCTTGGTTGGATAGCATTTCCCGGTTTGTCTGGGCAAAGCCCTTGGAACAGAGGAGGAGAAGAGGAAACAGTTGTATGAGATGGGGACATGGGGGACAGAAAGAGCCCCCGGCATAGGGAATTGCAGGGAGACCCTGAAATAAACACAGATAGGAGGGTGGCACACAAGGAGCTTGAGGGGAAGAATACAAGGAGTCCTTCTTGTGGGGACTGAGGTCAGCCTCCCCGCTGCCCTTTCATCTCAAAACATTCATCACTTGATGCCAGGAGCCCACGCACTGTGCTAGGCACCATAGAAACATTAGTACAAAAAATTAAATGCTACAACTCCCCACATCTCCTCCCCCGCCCTCCCCCCCCGACCACTTCTATACAATCAGCCAGAGGCAAACTGGGACTAGGACCCAGGCATCCTCCTCTGAGGGCTAGCACCCTAGCGTGACGCATCGTGACTCTTCAGAGAGTATAGACAGTACTTAGCAGCCAAAGCACCTTTGTGACTTCGGAAGACAAGCTACCTGGCCGAAAAGGAAAAACTTGAAGCCACTGCTGCATTTGCTCTAATAGCAGTGGGAAAGACGTTGCATGGTGCAGACATGGTACATGAGTGAAAGCAGGACCAGGAACGGATCAGACAACTGGGTTGTGTACACTCCCAGTGGTAGGATATCTAAATGTTTACAAAAGGAGTCAACCATGTGGGATTCCAACTGGAACCACTTCAAAATTAACCTGGGTGTCAATCCCTCGGGCTGCAATAAAATACACCTAGGTAGAGGTTAGCCCAACACTGGTTAAACAAACGGTAATACAAGTTCCTCCAGCTCAAACAAGTCCACTGAAAATCTGTTTTAAGCCATTAGGAGGAGACAGCTCCTAGGGACGGAGATGGTGCCTTTGACAGGATGCTGTTGCATATTCGTGCAGAAATGGAAGAGCGTTGCCAAGGTGATCAAGTTAATGGGAGATTTCGCAGCAGCATTTCCCTTCTCAAAGTGCATTGTGCTCCTGGAGACACAGCTTCTCTCCACTACAGATAGTTAGACAGCACAGCCAGGGGGATTACGAACCCCCTCCCAGCTCATTTATGGCAGTGATGGCAGCTGAAAGCAGCTAGGTGTGTACATGGTCAAAAGTTAAACAAGGATAGCAGGCCTATGCTAAGGCCATGCCTATACTAGGACCACTTTGCCAATATAGCTAGACTATCCCGGAAAAGCGCTTCAAGGATGGATGCAACTCATGGTAACAAAGCCAAGCTTTTGGCGCACTAGCTTATTCCAGCCTCCATGAGTGAAACAAACCATCTCAGTTAAAGCACACTTTTGCCAGAATAACTAGCTAGCTAGGGGATTCTGCTGCCACAGCATGCCAACCCCCAGTGCGCAGCAGCCCCCCTGCTCAGCATAGCCATGTTGGCAGTTTGCAGTGCAGACCTGGCCTCACAGAGTATGACTGTGTTGGTGACAGGTGTAATTTTAACCAAAATAGTTACGCTGGTACAACCCCAACTGTGGATAGCTATATTGCTAGAAGGGTAGCTTATTGGCCTCCCCCTGTGGCAATAAACACCACTGGTATAAGGCACCTTTATATTGCTATAACTTCATCCACACTGGGGTGTGGGGTGGATGTTGTACCACTTTAACTGTACTGTTCTAGAGTAGCAACCGTGTTAGTCTGTATCCGCAAAAAGAACAGGAGTACTTGTGGCACCTTAGAGACTAACAAATTTACCCACGAAAGCTTACGCTCATATGAATTTGTTAGTCTCTAAGGTGCCACAAGTACTCCTATTATTTTTGTACTGTTCTAGCTATACTTGAATAACTTTTCTGTTCAGACCCGCCCTGGCTCCCATATAACTAGGCTCCAGGAAAGTGAGATCACATCGACACCACACACTGGCTGCAAAACTACACTTGCCGGGTGTCAACCCAATTGCACCTCACTATGAATTTTAGTCCTAGAGCTCCTCCGACTGGAAGGATAAATACCCACCTGAGAGGAGCACTTTGAGATTTACAATAGAAAAGTGCACCATGATTATTATTGGAAGATGCTTTGGCGTGAGGAACTAATCAGATTGGTCGGTAAGAGTCTGAGCTACCTATAGCTGCGTGAGTTAGAGACCAGAGCTAACCCATTTGAACAAACCCATTATTTAGCACAACTCAGCCTTTGAGTGTGGTTCTGATGTTGATGCTCAGATGTAGAAACAGCTTTACAGAGGCAACTTCCCTCTCCATTTCACCAGCTGTGGAGAACTGAGGCACAGCAGTTGAAATGGATGTTCTGCTGTTTATTCATCACTCAGTGAGCTGTTCTGTGATTTTCATTTAGTCCACAGCTTGCTCTTTGAGCTGATGGTTTGTAGTCATGGGCACATAACGGAGACTGGGCTGGTTCTATTCCGAGCCTGATCCAGCACTGTCAACAGCAATAGCTCTGCTGTTTGCTTCCAGGAGCACAGCCTCAGGTGCTGCATGATGCTAACTGATAATAAGGTTCCAGGAGAAGATGCTCACAGAAAATCCACTTCAGGCTGTGAAAGGTTACACTCCAGTTTGCACAAGCACGTGCTGAACTTTTGTGGAAAGGGGAGTGGGCACAATGCCTTCATTAAAAAAGGATGAACTAGGATCTAGGAATCTTTTTGTGTGACGCTTTCCACCCAGCTCCAGTCAAGTGCACTACCACCGTGCAACCTGTGCCCACATCAGTGTTTTTTTCTCCCTGCAGCGGCCGGCCTAATGATAGGTTGCCTGATCTACCCGGATGGTTGGGATTCCAATGAAGTGAAGCGCATGTGCGGGGACAAAACTGACAAATACACACTAGGGGCATGCACCGTGCGCTGGGCCTTCATCCTCTGCATCATTGGGATCCTGGATGCCCTCATCCTCTCCTTCCTGGCCTTTGTTCTAGGGAACCGGCAAGATAATCTCCTCCCAGACGATTTCAAAGTAGAAAATAAAGGTAATGGCCCCACTTTGTTCTCTCTTCCTGTAACCTCCACTCACCTGTTAGAGGATACATCAAAACCCACTGCCACTTATAAAGCCTGCAGCCATGCCCATTGGGCCCAGATACCATGATAGGTGTGAATTATAGTGACCTGGACAGTGCTAGGGATGGGAAATAAAGGGGGAAGGGATATTCAAGAACCAGGAGATCAGGTAGGTTCCTGCAGTACAGGCCTGGTCAGGCTTCTGCCCCCTCCTTGTGGCTACCTGGCTAATGGCTTTCTAGAAATTAGTACTTTCCCACCATTAACAGCCTCCAGGTCAATCAGGCAGGAGAAGGCAGACATTACCCAGGGAGCTACCCAGGGTAGATGTTACCCAGACATGGCAATCGACACCAGCAAAGAGACTAGACCAGGGATGGCAGAGAAAGTCAGTCCATTTTATCCAGGGAAGAAATTGGTTACAAGGATCCTAAGACTTGTATTTCATCTCAGTAGTGGTGAAATTGCTATCCCATTGCACGCACCAGGTAGCATGTGTTAAAAGCACTTGGTAATGGATTAGTATCCAGCACTATCCATCCTGCAAACAGCATTTGGTTTCTGAAGCACATGGACATTGTGTATTAATTACAAACCTCAGGCAGGGGCTAGTCCATTTCCACACCTATTACTGAGGCAGACTCCCTGCGTTCATTTAAGTAGACACTGCATGAGGCTGATCCACGATCAGGATGCAGCAGGGCATGAGACACTGCCTTCTCACTCATCTGCCACCTCAATGAGGTCACCTTTCCCCTTAACACATGAAACTGATGCAACTTTTGAAGACAGTTGCTCCTGTTCTTGCCCTCTGTTACACATCCACTCACCCTAGTATAAAGACAGTTCTTTGTTTTACAGAGGAGGGCCATGAATGAAGAAGCTGAACACCACAGTAAGTAATCCTATTTGAAATTACTTCTAAACTTGTTCCAAGTATATAATCTAAGTATATCTGGGGGGATTCCTGAAAGATCACTGGTAATGTTTGATTTCAGTACCCTGTATTCCCATTGCTTTTAGTTATATAATCTTTGCTTTTACCTAATGGCACTAAAGGAGCAATAATTTACTGCACAGAATGGGATTAAAAAACCTTATGTTGATCTATTTTAAATTAGTTTTGTCACGTTCTAATCTTTTCCTTCTTTCCAGAGACATCTAGGGCCCCTCCAGGTAACGACCAGAAACTTGATGCTTTTCTTATCGGTCATTTTGAAGGAACTCTATTCTCCCTACAAACTTTCTTGAAAAGATTCCATGCAAGGGGCTGCTGGAGACTCGACCCCCTCATGGAGTTTATTTGGATGGAGGGACTCAATCTGTTATAGAGTGGGAAGGGTGGAAGAGGAGCCAGTATGTGTTTTAGCTACTTACAGTCACCTTTTGTACTGACTTGTTGCAAGAAAAATTTGCTGAATAAAAGGCAAAGTTGCAGTGTTTTGATTTTGTGCTAGTGTCCTTGGAAAACTTACCTACCTGGCTTCTCCTCCTGTGATCTTGAGTATTGTTCTACAAGAGAAACCATTTAACACCCAAATGCCAACAAAGCTCAACAGGCTTTCCTATAAAGCTGCCCCTTGAAATTACCCATAAGAGGAGAGTGACCAAGCCACAGTCCAGTTGGTAAAATAATTCAGCAAGAAACTGGATTCATGTGCAGTCAAAAGTCAGCCTTAGGACTCAACTGGCTTCACAACCCCTCTCTCACCATACTGAGCAACATTAAAGGCAAAGCATGAAGAAGCCTTTTCTGGCACAAATCTGCTGGGCTCCAGCATGACATAGCAGGCAATTCAGATCATATTCACTAGAGCAGATAGTGTGAATTGAACTGATTTTGAATGACTCCATTACTGCATTGTTGGAACCACCTGCATAACCTGATTTAGTTACCAGTTCACGTCACACCGTGAACACCCACCCGCAGCAGTCTTCCGCATATTCACATTCTACAGATTGCACGGGAGTGTGATCTCTTCTGATATGGGGCTCTTAAAAGACACCACTGCCAGCTCTAAATCCAAAATTTACATAGCAAAGTAGAACTTAAGGAAACACACCTTATGGCTGCTAGAAATCAGGTCAGTTCCAGCAAGGCTGCACCCTGATCTTCCAATTTCACGCTTGTTTTACAGCAGGGGTTCTCAAACAGTGGGTCACAACCCCATTTTAGACATGCTGGGGCACAGGACCAAAGCCTTAGCCCCACTGCCCAGGGCCAAAGCCCAACGGCTTCAGCTGTGGGTGTGGCAGGGCTCAGGTTACAGGCCCCCCTCCTAGGGCTGAAGCCCTTGGGCTTTAGGATACACCCACCCCTGGTGACAGGGCCCGGATTTTGGCCGCCCTAGCCCGGGTGTTTGGTCATGTAGTAATTTTTATGGTCAAAAAGGGGGTCATGATGCAATGAAATTTGAGAACCTGTTTTCCGGTAAGGAAATCTCTAGATGCCTCAGTGAAGACTCCCTATTAGGGACTGATAAAGGGACTATTAAATGGAAAACTGTGGCAAAGTTTGGCACATGGCTATTTAAAAGGGGACAACTATTATAGCAATGTCTTCATGTTTTCTATTTCAAAAGCTAGCAAAATAAAGATTTTGCTACTAATTTTGTGATTTTATCTACCTAGATCACACAACACTGCATGTGAATGGAGTCTCAAGACTAAACGTGTTAACCCTGGGCTCCCTACTCTAGCAGAATACAAAAATTAATGGACAGACAATGGCTCTGAATGAACAAGTTACCAAGGGAACATATCAGGAATAGAATAGATGTGGGTTATTAAATAATCTGTTTTATTGTACGGCATTTACAAAGAAAAGACAATGCACTCAAGTAGAAAGAATAAAAATGTATTTTCCTTCAGGTTTTAGACGAACACAGCAAGTACAAATCCTTTAGTGAGCACTTTATGGCAATTTGGAAGTTTAGTGAACCCCAAGTGAGCGAGCACAAGGGACAAGACTGAATCCTGACAGCTGCCTCTATGTGTCTTCAACCCACAAGCTGGCTCTTTTACGGAGATAGAGGAAAAAGTCCTCTTCTGGCGGTGATGGGGGAACGGATACCTCAGAACCCAATGTGCAGACCCCTCTATGAATATCTCATTCCTTTAGGTCAGCCAGGTTGCAGAAGTGCACAGGGCGGAGTGAGCTCTAGTGATGCCACCAGAAGTTCCATTCACCCTGCCAAAAAGTCTTCACAGTATTAAACAGAAGGTAAGTAATACACAGTCCAGTCCTGTCTGTAATCCCTTTGCAACAGAAAAAGAAGCAACTCTTGGAGCTGGGGGAAGGAATTCCAGATTCCAGGAAAATCATTCAGCAGTTTTAAACTGTTTTGGTATATTTATTTCCTTTAATCTTAGATTATGCATAGAGAACCTGACTTAAGAACCCCTAAATGGACATGCAGCATGGATTTCATCAATGGCCCAGTCGGTGTTAGACTGGACAAGCAAGAAAAAATAGGGCAACAAGATGGTTATACTTTTAAAGTGGATTAAATAAGGACACCAGCTTTTGTGGATGGAAGGTTGTTATAAACTGAGATTTCAAACACACACACAAGAGTGACATGTAACAGCCTCACTGGCAGCTTTGGTGTTACTGTCTCAAATAGCGCCTTCTTGGCCTTCTGGGAGTTCCAGAGTCCTGAGGCAGCTTCTGTCCTCTGAGAATTTCTTGATCCCAAAGGCCTGTTTGGTCCATGGTGAGGAAGGGCTGTTCAAGTCCCTACCCTGCCTAAACCTTGCTTTAGAGTAGGATGCAATGAATCTGTAATCACTTAGGAAAGCCTAGGAGAGATGCATCGTAAAACTAGCAAACACTACAATGCTTTAACTTTGAATTAAAATAACTGCCCCCACAAACCTCCGTTACACCCAGCCCTCTGAGAAGTTTAAAAACCTTACATAATATTTTCCTGGGACAACCATATTTGGGATGATTCTAGGAAACAGAAGCTGACCCTATGTCTACAGGAAAAAGCCAAACCATGTAGTTCACCTGTCCTTGTGTTAATTCCCAAGTACTCAATCGTCTCAGAAAATAAAAGGCAACCCCATTTGGGGAAGTTACTTCTAAAGGCCAGCACCTAAGGCAAGCTAACAGTAGAAATCTTTACATTAAGCTTTGGAAATGTGGTGTTTCGAAGTCAGGGAACAGCGTGGCTGTGACACACAGATACCACCAGCCCCTCTTCGCAACAGAATGATCAAAATAAGAGAAAGTACATCCCATCTTCCAGACTGAATACCAACTGCTTACTGATGCAATGACAACTTCAGGCAAGGCAAAGGAAGTGCCAGTATGGGGGGGTGGGGGAGGGGGAAATTGTACAGCTCACTCAAATGTCTAGGAAGAGTTGCCTGCAGCCCAACTACCACTCTGCCAGCAAAGCATGTACACATCTATTCTGAAGATTGTGCATTTAACCAGTTCCAGCTTTTGCTTTTTTATTTTCCATGTCACGTTTTAGTCCCAGGGTTCAGGCATTTGAGGGAGCGTAGCAGGTTTCACTGAATTCAGAAACTAATCTGAACACTGGGGGAAAATAATGGTATTAAAAATACTTTTTAAATACAGCTTTTCATAGGATTCAGTGGCTAAAACTAAAGAAATTATTTGACTGGAAAGAACGTGAGAAGTCACCCAAGAAACACAACAGACACCTAGGGATGGGTGGAGGATTTCAAGTTATCTGTTCCACATGGAGTTATCACCTAGGTACCAATCTGCCATTTCTCATCCTCCTGCTAGCTACTGGACGTGCAGTGGAAAATTGACTCCCAGAGTCAGTGAGCTAAGGATGGATTCACAGATCTTCATATCCCTTTCATGGGTGTAATTTAGTTAAGGGAGCACACATTAATGCAGATCAGCTCACGCCTACACTAACAGGTAAGAGACTCAAGGGCAACTTTGTATTCCAGTCAGTCAATTAATCTTTGGCAAAGCCCAATCAAGGCAAAGCTCACAGGATGCCCACTGGCTGAGAAGAGTCTCCGCTTAATCAAATAAACAAACTCAACTGAACAGGTTAAATTTATCTAAAATCTCGGAAGCCTCGAAGGAAGAGCTTCACACTGAAAAGGAACAAGAGGAAAAAAATGGATCTGGGGAGGGACAGTTGGAACAGCTGGGTGTACGTATGCTATGCTGTAAACCAGAGTGTAGGGCTGTGGTGTTGGGTTGAAGACCTAGGAGTTAAGCCAGGGGTGCCTGAGACACTCAGCTGCTGTAGCCCGTTTCTCTGGAATCAGCTCCAACATAGGTAATAAGAAGTCTGTGAATGCAGCTGCCTCATCTTGGGACCACTCGTATTTCTCCACCAGAACTTCAAAAAGGCCCCAGGGCTTCAGTTTGGTGATGTGTTTCAGATCCCCTGAAAACAAAAACAGACATCAACAGTACGTCACCAATGGTACCAGAGCGGCTTACCAAGTTACTCCAGGTAGGTATCGGGACTCCAGTATTTCTTAGGTAAATGTTGTGTAGGGGCGTAAAGGGTTGAATTTTAACAACCCAAGTTTCCCTCTTTATAAAGCTGCCCTTGGAGGTCAGCCAGTTTTAGAAGAAGAGGTACTTGCAAGAAGGTCCCATCTCCCTCCTCCTATTTCTGCCCCACAGTTTCCATACAACCTGATTAGTCACTATAACCGAAAAATACACACACTAACACAAGGCCACTTGTACTGACTTGCAGCCACTCAGAACCCATCTGAGAGGAGAGGTTCTGCATATAGCAGACAGGCGTTTCCTGTTCAGACTGCTAAACGTGAAGGCTGCCTGACAGCACAGAGATCAAAACACTTCAGTCCTCACACTCTGCCCAAAGGAGAGAAGACTGATGCATTTTAACCAGTAGATAGCTTTAAAAAGCCCTCATCATGCCAGAAAAGTATTACCCTCGTTAAGAGGTTCTCGGGCTGGCTAATACAATTCTGCCAGTTTCCTATTGCTCAGCAAGAGTATTGCTTCCTCAAATAGTGTTGTATCATTTCAGAAATCCATGGAGGAACAATCTTTGGGGTTTGAAACAGCACCTCTCAATATTCATGACTACAGGGTACTGCTGCTCTGGTAGAATTAGATTAGTAGGCCAGGAGCTGAGCAAAGCTGTCTAGACAAAGAAACTCAAAAGCATGTTAAAGCCATTAGTTGATAAAAACTGACTGTATGATGCCAAATCAGCCCACAAAGCTGACGACAGCAGTGCTCTCCACCCTGCTTATGGCTGAGATGAGGAGCATTGGTATGCACTCAGTTGCCAGATAAGAACACACATACAGAGCAGCACCTTGGTCCTGTGGGAATCTTTGGTGCAGCAGCCAGAAGATTTAAGATTATGGCTTTGCTGTAATCTATAGTTACCTGGTAGTTCCAGCAACAGGCATTAGGGCACTCCTAGAAAAAACTTGCTGTTTCCTTTTA